TTCTCCGATTTCAGGGTGTCTGAAAATACAAATATTAACAGATGTTTAACTTTCTCCTAGCATTAAAGCTTTGTCAAATATTCAGGACAGTGAAAAGTGGACAGGGATCCAATTCAGACCCCAGACAACTTTCCTTCATGCTCCAGTCTGCACAGAACCCCTATTTCAATTATAGCACACTGCCCAGAAAGTCCAGCAGGCTCCCACCACTCAAACTGGAAAAACAAAGCCCACAGCAAAAACGCAACAACAAAATGACAGCACATATAACAACTCCCATGGCTCCCAAATCCTGTCTGCATGGCCACACAACCAGGCTGGCTGCTGTTTAGGTCAAGTTTGCCAGCAAGGCTGCTATTAAGATAAGAGTCAAAAAGTTACACAGCTAAAAGACTTAACTGTGAAGATTTATATTCTCCATACCTCCAGAGGCAGTGCAATGCTTCTTACAGCTTGAGAAAAATGTAATCAATGTAGGTGTTTCTATAAACAGTGTGTCATTTAAATGCATAACACTAAAAGTGTTTTATGGTCCAATTATGCCTAAATGGACCGATTTATTTTAAACACAGAACTGTACCACTGGACATTAATAAGTAGTGAGAAGCTGCTATGAAGAGCTATAGTCTACAGAGAAAAACAGAGGCAAAACACAGCCAATAACTTTGATGTACACGTGATATAAATCCTGACAAGATGTGGAGCTCCTCTCTATAGTACCTGCACCAGCCATTTGGATAACATGCATCCGCACTTTTTTGAGAACTACTGATATTACACCACCTATAGGTACCTCAGCTGAATACCAGTAATACTTTATTCAATATTAATGCAATCACCAAAACCCTCTGCCATACACATTCATTCTATTGTCCACGTTAGAGCTTTTACAGGCATTGCTTTACATGAAAAATTACAGGTTAATTAGGAGACAAAAAGTTTGTTGAGTCTTGGCAGTAACACTGCTCTGGTTTAGGTTTAAGTGTCACCCACTGGATGCCTCGCAAAGCCACCAAGACTAACAAGCTTACTCTAAATCATTTTTCTAATAGGAAACTGGCAAGTTTGCATCTCAGCTCATTTGATTTGCTAATGAAACCCAATCTTCCCTCAAAAGGGGAAATATCTTTTAAAAAGGAGACAATCATGCTCAGAAGCATGGGCATGGCAAAAGTATAACAAAACATAAAGTTAGGGCTGGTTTGAGTTAAGAATTAAGCCTAAAATTTCTTGCTTTAAACATTCACAAGCTATTAAGAATTTTTACCTGCACATTACATTATCAAGGTAGAGGCAACAGTGGTATGAGAGCTTCTGGTCTGCCTCTGCACCAGCTGCTCCACTGAAAACCCCACACCCACAATTCTTCTCCTCTCTCCAAATCCCTCATTCGTCTCTACCCAAAAACCAGACAAGCTCAACTCACGCCACTCTTGGCAGTTCTACATTCCCCAGTGTCATTTTATTTGGTGTTTAAACAAGGAAGAGGCCCTTTAACACAGAAAATAGGACGGATTATAGTACTAGACAAACTAGATCCTATTTCACTTGGATCTGATCATGTTGCAGAGTCCAAGGAAGGCAATACGTTTATCTGCTTACTATAAAATTATGTTCCACTCTTTAAATCGAAGAGACAAACTCACGCCAAATTTCTATCTAAAGACCTACAGCAAATAAAGCAGAAAAAATAAAAAATAAGCAAAAGAAAGCTGCACTATTTACTATATATTCTCTCATAGAAAAATTAAAAGAAGAGGATTTTGGACATTCCCAGTTCAAAAGTTATTCCAGCTCTCAAGCACAATGGAAATGCCTGTTATTATAAATGATTGCTCATCTGTAGTTCTTCAGCTACTTCCAAGGTTTTCCTGGAACAGTTTAACTGCAATCCATAAGTAATACGTTAGCAATCGATTTATACGTAAAACGTGTCACAGCACAATTTAGTATCTGCGGTTTCAGGCAATCACTTGAGTGCTTTCAAAACGTGTAACAGAGTGTCACAGTGACATTTTTAATGCTGCCTGAATATTTATGTTGAGTGCCCAGAAAAAAGCCAAGCAAATTAAAGAATTTAAGGAAAGAGAATTACAGCTCAATTGACTACAAAACAAAACTTCCCCTACAATGTACAATACCAGAATTTAAGAATGTTTTTCTTCTGAGTCTGAAAAGTCATTAATTGGTTTATACAAGAATCACTTTCAAGGCTCTCTTAAGTTGTTTTCTAGAGATTTCGAAAACAATCCTGTCTGAAGCATCATATTTCCATATCCTATAAACAGTCTTTACATTATAAAGAAATAAGCAAACCAAAAACTGGTAAAGAGATGGATTTTTTTCCTATTAGGAGGAAAGGCTAGAACACAAGCTCAGAATTCTGCAGTTAAAAAACCCAAGACACCCAGAAAACCTAAATTCTCCTGCTTATGCCATGCAAGAAAAAAATCAGAACTTTTTTAGTGACTTAAAAGAGGCTTTATTGTGAGTCATAACACAAGCTGTCAGTGAAATACAGACTTCTTTAAAAATATGTATCAATGAAGCTTCTTCAAACTCCGTGGTTTCCAAACAGGATTATTACATTTATATTTAAGATTGCTCCAGAGAGTTCTGCAGCAGGCTGATGAGCTCTGCAGTTAAATTAATTTAACTGAATGTTAAGAGAACATGAATATGGAAATGGCAAGCTGAAAAATGGAGCTAAAGCAATCCAGATGAAGGGCAAGCCGCTCAAAGGCACTGCCTTGCAAGTGCATCCAAGACACAACGACAGAATTGCTGTGCAACAGCAAAAATGTCAGCATTATTCTACTGGGGAATAAGGTGTTAAGGAAGAGTTAAGTTTTAGCCTGGTACTATCATTTTCATTAACATCAGGTTTTTTGGAATTAAAGTTATTAAAATGCAGTATAACCTGCAGCCGAGAGCGCGCTGAGTGCAGCTGGGTTTCACTAGACACTGCTGCACTGAACTGTCAACATGAAAGCAATACCAGCATCAAACACCACTTGCACCCAGGGTCTCCAAAAGCTGCCTCCAGAATGCAGAGCTGCTCAAGCACATCTGATGCAATACGCAGCTTTGAATACTGCTACACAGCAGCAATTGAAGAACAAAGTGTTTTTAAGAAGTCTGAAATCTAAGAGGGGTTTAAAATAAAAAACTACTTTCTAGTCACAGAGCTCTACAGCTCTTAGAGCTTGTTCTGGAACTCCCTCTTGAGGTTAGAGACTGCACTATATTAAAGACACTGCAATAGCCTCAGAACCAATTCTACTCAAAAGGAGAGTTTGTCCTTGCAAAAGAGATATTATCAAAGGCATCTCCTCAAAATGCTGTACTCCAGTTTGCAGAGAGATGCTTTTGAGTTGCAAGTACTGCAATCTTAAAAAGAGGGTAAGAAGATAAGCACATCAAGCACAGGAAGATAAACTGAGGAGGCGCTTTACTTACACGCCTTTGGTAGCCAACACAGGAGCACCACAGACAGCAGAACCTCAGCTCATGAAATGGAAGAGCACACACTGACGATGAGAAACTAACAGTGGTGTCTGTCTGTAAAGCAACAGCAACTTCACTTGGTTTACTGAAGGCTGTTAACATGTCCCATTCTTTGGGTGACCTTTTAAGCTACTCTAAGCAGCCAACATCTTGCTAGAGCTACCTTATTTCACAAAATCCTATGGCATTACCCCAGTGTCTTTGTTGCCACAAACTGGCTGACAGCTCTGGTTTTTAATGTGCTGACTCAGTGTTTGCCAAAGTTTACAAAACTCCCTAAACAAGTTCTGCTGAAATTTTACTCTCAAAAACAGTTCTTTCCACAAGCTCTAGTTATCCTTCCCCAACACAGAAATTCCCAAGAAGGATGTTTCCAAACTCCTGTTAAATTTTATTTTCCTTCTCAGACAACAGCTGAAGGTTAAAAATCAGATGGCCAAGGAAGTCTTCGGAGGCAGTGCAAGAGCCAAAAGAACAAGCCTTGCCTACAAAGGTCATATTTTACTAACACTGAGTCCCCAGCTCAGCACTTTCCTCGGTCCTTGAACAAGCATCCACGCTGGCCACCTGAGTCATCTATGTCTACCTCTGCCTCAATACTGTCCAGACTACCCAGTCAGTCGGAATGGATTTCTATGAGTACTCATAATTCAGAAAAGATTCTTTTTCTTATAGTCATACTTTTCTAGGGAGGTTCTTTCCTTGCTGTCCCCTTCATAAGGAAAAAAAAACCACCAACAAACCGTTTTGAACCCTGTTCCAGATCAAGCTGTGAAGTCTTCCACAGACTATCAGGGATCAAAGTAATATCATTTTAAATCTCACATCCTATGACAAAGTTTGTTGTTTTAGTAAGATTTTTTATTTTAGGGTGGAATGGATTTCAACTTGAATGTCTCAGAAAAACAACACACGGTTTATTCAGTTGTCCTTACCAACCAAAGTAACACTAAAGAAACACACAAGTGTAGATGCTAGCTCCTCCCACTGCATGCCTTGCTGGTTTTGAAATGTGCAAGATATCTGTCATTTCATATATAATGAAATATATACATTTGATGCATCAGTTCTGAAACAAAATGCCAGGTTACAGCCAGATCATCTTCTAAAGCAACACAATTTTTTTTAGTCTTAACTCTATGCTAGTCTCCCTCCTCTACGTTCTGTGAAAAAGACAAAACAGACAAAAAAGAACCAACAAAAAACCCCATACTAGCTAGAATCACATCTTACTCAATCAGCACAGAAGCTTGTGGAAATTGTGCACAACTCAGCTATACCAAGTGCAAAATCAAAAAGAATGGCTTGAAACTTGGACCTAGAAAGGGTCCCTCTTCTCTACTGCCAGAGGACACTGACCTAAGAGTTTTAGTTTTCTACAACAGAAAGACATCACAATCAGCTACTAAAAATACCAAGGCAGGTTCAGAATACACATCATAGCCCACTGGAGGTCCTGAGTAATATTCTAGAAGTTAAAGATGTTTTTTTACTTTTCATGGTGCCCTCCTCCTCTTCCTCCTCTGTGTTGATGACCATTGTACCCAGCTGGGATTCCAAGGTGCCATCATGCTCTATCATTGTGTTGGCTCCATCACTCATCGTGTTGACAGCTCTTATGGTACCAGTTTCATCTCCGCTCGCCCTCACCATGGTACCTGAATCAGCTTCATCTTCTTCCTGTACAAGGATGCCATAAATACATTTTTACTGATGGTGGTGAAGTCCCATGAAGAATGTCTGTATTTCAGGACACCAGCAAGGATTGATAATTCAGAGATTTTTACAAATACACATAGAAGCGACATTTTGTTTTACACATTTAGTTCTCTCCCTGTCATCTCCAAACAGGTAATAAAAAGTCTTCCTACTTTTCTACCAGCATGATAAATAAGAGAAGAAATAAATAATCAGCAGAAGCTTCTCAATGCAAGTTGTGTCTGATTTTTGAGCTGGTGACCTATCTGTAACAGTAGATTGCAATACTAATTCAGTCATCAGTTTTTCTATTCGTGTTGTCAGTTTTAATAGTTGATCTAAAACCGCTACGCCAAATGGTACAGTTCACTGGGAAGTCATTGATTATTAGACAGCAACAAGTCTAAGTCTGGATTACATGTGGAACACCGAAGAAAGACAACCACCCTATTCTTTAGGTCTCTGTCTACATTTAGATAGTTTATTTGCTATAAACTTCAGAAGCACTGAAGAAAAATTAACTTCATTTGCAAACCTCTAAAAATGAATTACATAAATCAGCAAAGTCTAGTCATTTTTTCAGATTAAAATTATTTGTTTTATTTTCATTTGTTAACAGGTACTAATATGATAGAAGTTTGAATTATCGCTGTCAAGGCTTGAGAAACTGACTCTGTAGGAAAACAAAAGTTCCTGAAACTAATTCTGGTAGGACAGCTTCTTGGCAGATAGTTATGTTAGCCAGAGATAGCAGTTGCATTAGGAGGTGTGTGCTTCACTAATCATGTATTGTGATTAGGATCTTATTAAGAACGAGGCCAAAATTTCCATAATCTATTTAATTTCTTGGAAATGTGGCCCAGGTATCCATCTACAAGAAGTCACTTCCTAGGTTAACAGTGGAGTTTCTAGGCATCTCACTCTGGATGAGATGCTCATGTTTTGTTTTAAGGATAAAGTTCACTATTCTTTATGTGTGACCATGGGTTACTGATGCAGAGAAGTGCGAGAGGGAAAACAGAGGTCTCGCACATCCAGCTGTAATACTCCATATCAGCGTCACTGAAAGAAAGAAGCACACCCCTCCACGTTCTGGTGTCCCATACATGTTAGCTGTTCTGTCAAGGGTATCTTTATAATTTAATTCCCAACCTCAAAACCTATAGCAAGAGGAGAAGAAAACTACATGAGATGTTAATGGAGGAGAAGTAATTTTATGTGGAGATAAGTGGGCGAGAGGAAGTAATAAATATGTTAGCTATGCATCATTTAACAAAGGACTATGGCAGAAATTTCCACAGGACTTGGGAAGTGCTTGGGAACACTTTTCTGCTAGCAGACACGGAATAGAGAAGTCTTGGGAAAACACACACACCGACGGAGACTACTCAACTCCACTACACAGACACCATCTCTCAGCAATGGGACTCCAGATCAGTCAGAACTGGAGGAGAGAGGGTGAGGACAACACTTCCAGAGTCAACATCATGGCAACATGACCAATAAAGTTACCTCCACACTGAATAAATAGGCGGTCCTAAACTGGAAAACCAGATGAACAATGTCACCATGACAGATACTGTGGACCATGCTGTTAAGTCTAACCTCTGAAAAGGACTGGCATACAATGCCTTTTGTTGCCCATTTCATTTATTCAGGTTGAAGTAGGCAGAGGCTCAAAAAGCAGCTTTCAACATGCTTTCCATATTCACATGCTGTAACCACCAAAACAAGGAGCCCAAACTCAAATTCACAGCAATCCCCTGAACACTTGTCATGCCCTCACCTCAGGTTTCTGTCGGTTGCTCTTGTGCAGTAGAAAGTTTCTATAAGGGGGGTTCTAAAGCACAACAATAGTAAAACAACATAACACACTCATATCATAGTGCATCACAGATGATATTATTATTTTATACTAGGAGAGCAGTCCAAGACCTGAATCTACAATGAAAAAATTCTCATTACTGCATAAATAATACAATGCAACTGAGAAAATTTATCAAGTCTTTTGCATACACTACTTTGTAGACCCATTAAATCACAGGTCTCAGATACACTCTAAGCTAAACAGTAAGCTGTACATGCTGGCTATCCCACTCAGATACAAAGACAGAGCAGGGACCAAGCATCAAGTTAAGCACTCTAAGTAGAAAACTTGAGAACCAAGTCAAATCAATGGGCAATTGGACAAAATATTGCAAAAGATAAAAACCAAAGCAGCAAGCTTTATGAAAGGAGCAAAAGTTTGAACTTCGTAAACTGATGTAAACTACTCACTGAATTTTCTTCATCATCTTGATCTAGTTCACGTTGTTGCGCCTCTTGACGTTTCAGCTTGATGTCCATTGCTTCATTAATCAAGTCCCGGAGAATTGACACTCCTTTGGCACTTTTAACAAATGGATGCTGAGAAGCATTTTAAAAACAAGTAAGCACTGCATCCATACCAAGATACAACAGTAAAACACTGTTACTATGGCTTACTTGCAATCAAAATCAAAGTTTAACTGGTTACTAAAGTAAAATCCAGTATTTCTGTTTGGCACTGGAGGGAGACCTCCCACTCTCCAAACAAGCTCATGTTGCCAAGGCTCTACTGCTATGAGACCTTGGGCTCCTTCCTCTCCCATAGCTTGACTAATTTCTTTCCTTAACAGTTTTGCTTCTGAGAACCAGTAACAGATTATCACCATGTCCAGGCCATTCTGAACAATTACTTTCATTTAGCCTCCTCTTTTTAGTGTTTTAAGAGGTAGTTTCTTGGCAGTGCTGGTGACAATTTGAAAGTAAGAAAAACTCCAAAAGCCAAAAAAAGAAAACAAAACTCGGAGAAAATAAAAGTAGGAAGTTGATGTTAGACTGGTTCTTAGAGAAGAACTGAAAAGTTGAAGTTGAGTGTAAGACTTTTAAAATCAGATATTAAAAAAGTAAAATCTGTAGTGAGAAGGAGCAGCAAGAAATGAAACCAACATCTCAGACACGCAGCACTGCCTACCCTAGCAAGCCTTCTCTAGAGCTTATGTTCCTGTAAGAAAAGGCAGACCTGCAGAAGCTGTGTTGCAGTGGCACGCTGCTCCGGGCTCTTAACAAGACACTGCTTTACAAAGTCCGTAAAATTGTCTGACCACAGCTCTGGTTTCCGGAACGTTGGAGGTGGATTGGTAGGAATCATAAAAATTGCCTGAAAATAGAAGAATATTCCAGATTTCCAAAAAAAGTGTAAAGCTTTCCAACAATACAACATAAAGACACAGACATACACTGGTATGCAAGTAGCAAGAAATCAGACTTTTCTCACTAGATGCTTACAGTTCTGCCTGAGCTATTACATGCCCCCAGATGTTGTGAATCTGTCATTTTCAAATCTTAAAAAATAGTAATTGCATAAAAAAACCTCAAAGCAATGCTTTGGATAATACAGCTGAAAACATGTTTCTTCACACACAACAGGGAGCTGCTGCAATGTCTTAACAGAAGAAGATCATGATTTTCCTTCCCATGCAGATTCTCCTTCAAAGACCTGTTTTTCATTTAACCAATAGTACAAAGAACTGACAGAAAATAAATAATTTAATCTAAATTAAAAGCAAGATGGCATGTTGATATGTTATTCAGAGAGCTATAATAGTAAAACCTTTCCATACAGCAATGCATTTTAATAGGCCACAGTTCTTACCCTCATAGGATGAATATCTGCATATGGTGGTTTGCCTTCAGCCATTTCTATTGCAGTGATTCCCAGAGACCAGATGTCTGCAACACAATTATAGCCAATTTCTTGAATCACTTCTGGAGCCATCCAAAATGGGGTCCCTATAACTGTGTTCCGCTTTGCCATGGTGTCCTGAGAAGAGCAGGATAAAGATCCAGACAATGGCAATTGTGTAAGCCCCAAACATCCACTAATGAATTACCATCCTAATTATTTTCCACTTGCATGCATGCACATTATTAGACTCAGCAAGACTGTGATATGAAGGGTTGCAAAGAGGAATTGAAATGTGCTTACAGAAGCTACAAATATCCTGAAGAAACCAGCAAATGCTATTGCAAACCATAGCTTAGGTGTAATGGCTTCTAGAAGCTCTGTTCTAATCTCTTGCTGGTTTAGCATCTCATTATGTTGATGGAGACTGCTAAAAACCAGTTTAGAACAATTTTTCAAAGTCTCCACAAACAGGTGGAGGTTAAAAAGATAAACTGAAGTGTACACAACCATCTTGGTTTTACTTACTGTAAGTTGTCCTGCCACTCCAAAATCTGCAAGTTTAGCATGTCCCTCTGTATTTAGCAATATATTTCCAGCTTTGATGTCCCTGTGTATTTTCCTCATAAAATGCAGGTACTCTAGCCCTTTCAGTGTTGATTGCACTATTGTAGCAATTTCCTCCTCTGTGAGCTAAAGAAGAGAAGAGTTATTGCCAACCTATCAGTTTTTAAGATGTTATACTATTGTGTTTCAGTCTATTTTTTCCTGAGATTCACTAATTGCTATTTAATTGCCTTCACTAAAGGTTGCCATACTAATGGGAAATCAGTTAGCAACTTCCTGCATTATGTAGTAGAGCAAGATTAAAACTACCACATATATACACACATACTGTATTTCACATACCATAACCCTTTCTCAACTAGTAATTCTTATCTTGCAATAACTAAAGTAAGGCAAAGTAGAGTCTGCTATTCAGAATCAGTCTGGGTTTTCAAGAAAGCCAACAAACCAAAATCTGCTCCACCAATGACGCTATTCAAATAACCAAAACTCAATCAATGTGATCAGCTTTCTCATTTTCAGAGGAACAAAGGACCCACATCTCAAGTTATGGCCAAGTGTTGTGTCAGGCACTGAACACTGTGAGAATTGTGCCCAATCTCTTGAGCTACTGGACACCCATAGTTCCCATTCACACATTCAAAGGAGAAAGTACATACAGTTTTATTTCGTAATCGAATAATATCAGACACAGATCCAGCGCCGCAGTATTCCATTACTATCCACAGGTCTGTGTTCTTAAAATAGCTGCCATAATATTTCACCACATGAGGACTATGAAATGTGAAAAAGGAGAAAACAGAGAGTCAAATACCAGTAACCAGCATAACTGAATTAGCACAAAACACTGCAGAGTCCTCAAGTATGTTTCAGAAATTCAGAGTTGAAGTGCCACTAAAACCATAATCAAAAGTATCCCAAAACAGCCTGATCTTGCACAGGGCTACTGCAGTCCTCCTAGCCTCTTCCCCACAGCAGTGCTCATCTGACCTGCCAGTGAGTCAGTTCAGGGAGCTAAACCACCTGAAAATCAATCCTATAGAAATAAAGAGCAATTATCCTTCAGTCTGGTTTAACTCCCTGAACCGGATTACAACAAGGTCAGCGCTGTGGCAAGCGAGAAGGCCGGAAGAGGGGATGATAAGGTTCAAAGTTTGCTGGAAAATAGCTATCACGTTCATTAAGAATGCTCCCCCACTACCACATGCTCCGACTCCTTTCTACAATTTAGTTCAGGATGTATTTTAGGAAGCCAGTACAACCTAAGACTGTCTCTCACAGTTAGCTCTCCAGCTGTCCAAAAAGTCAACAAACTGTTAAAGGATATGGCTCAGAATAACCATCTGTTCTCTGGAAAAGGTAAAGCAGAAAACTAACAGAAAGACTGTTCCTGATCTTGTGGGAATGGAGCCAAAGAACAAAAGTGCACTTGATCTATTCTCTGCTGACTATTTTCTAATGAAAAACTGTCAAACGATCAAAAGAAAGTCACACTGCAGTGTCCCTTAATGCTTGCACAGACAATGTGATGCTCCAGTGATTCACTCCCTCTGCTGTTCATAACTGTAAGGTCTCATTTTAGGTCTTACAATGTTAGTATTTAATTCCTTTTAAGAAAGACATCTAGAAATGCTTTCCAAGTTACATAGTAAGATTTTTCACAAACAAATTATCAAGTTACATTGTGTGGTCTGCCACCAGTCACTTTCATTTAAAGACAGTGAGAGTGAAGTGCAATAGAGTGACTGAGACCACAGTTCTATATTGGTAAGGTAATTTATTTCAAAATTTAATTTTCCATGCCTGAAGTCCATCAAAGTAGTGTTTCTTAAGGCTAAATTCATAATACCAGAAGAAATCAGTGTATTTTAAACTTTCAGCCCAGTACACAAAGGGCTACAAAGATGATCAAGGGAGTGGAGCATCTCCCTTATGAGGAGCGGCTGAGGGAGCTGGGTCTCTTTAGTTTGCAGAAGAGGAGACTGAGGGGAGACCTCATTCATGTTTATAAATATTTAAAGGGTGAGTGTCACGAGGATGGAGCCAGGCTCTTCTCGGTGACAAACAATGATAGGACAAGAGGTAATGGGCACAAGCTGGAACACAGGAGGTTCCACTTAAATTTGAGAAGAAACTTCTTCTCAGTGAGGGTGACAGAGCACTGGAACAGGCTGCCCAGAGAGGTTGTGGAGTCTCCTTCTCTGGAGACATTCAAAACCCGCCTGGACGCCTTCCTGTGCAACCTCATCTAGGCGTTCCTGCTCCGGCAGGGGGATTGGACTAGATGATCTTTTGAGGTCCCTTCCAATCCCTAACGTTCTGTGATTCTGTGATTCTGTGATACACACTTTGAGAAGAGGTCTTCTGTACCTATGAGCTCCCCATCAGCTAAGTTACTACATCTTTTCCCAAAGGAAACATGCAAGGACAACCCAGAGAGCCAACCATCAGCCTGCAGAGCTGCCAGCAAATTATTCTGGGGATGCTCAGGTCAGCAGACTGCTTGTACCGCACTAGAACCTGTGCAGACAGAAAATGGCTGGGAAGGACAATTCCACCACCCAAGCAGATGACAACACACAGATTATGCACATGCAAGAGCAGTCATGCATTAGTGGCTCTCATCCACGTGCCCCGTAAAACCAACCAAACAAAAAAAACCCTCTTTTAACAGTTCTCTCCATACCAAGGTTTTTTAGCAGCCACTACCCCTTTGGAGACGGGAACTGCTGTTCTGGCACACCATCAAGTTACCACTGTTCAACAAGTGCTGGCACATCGGGAGAATCACAGTAACTGCACACACGCTCGGCTCTTTGCTGGCAGCAAGTGCAAGGTTATTCAACTTCACTTAATGCTCTCTTGTTGCAAGCTAAATTTTTGTTGTCTTACCTTTGCTTGGTTTAACACTACCCAAATGGTCAGTTACCATGACTCAGTTGCTACGAGGTACCTTGATCGTACAAGTCCTGCCTTTTAAAAAACATTTAAGGCAACATCATGGCTTTTATTTGAGTAAATGCCAGATCACAGACAATACTTTTCTTTGCATACCAACAATGGGTTTTCTAGTATACATTTACCTGTCACATTGCTGCATTATGGATATTTCCTTTATAATCTCTTGCAGGTCGGATTCCACAGGAACTTGTTTAATTGCAACAACTTGACCCGTTTCTTTATGAATAGCTTTGAACACGCTGCCATAGGAACTATGAAACAAAATATTAAACAAAGAGTGAATACAATAACATTTAAAAATGCAAATGTTATGGCTTGTTTTTTGCTTGCAAGTGCAGCCATCAGGTAAAAATTAACTGCTTTTCTCCTAAAAATATTTTGTGTTTTTATGTAAATAAACAGTCCACTAGCTTCTAAACACTATAATAACACAAATAAGTCACAGCACACTGAAATCGTCAGAAAAGAGGCAACCGTCATTACACTGCCCATAGCTTTGAAATGGCCTTTTGCACAAATCCAACAAATAAAATTCTCTTTTTCCAGCATACAGGACCAGCTGAACATCAGTAAGAACTAAAGCTCTGGTCAGAGAGGTTTGCTTGTTTTTGTCAAATATTAACTGTCTTATTTCCAGCTTCTTTACTTACATCAGCTAGGCAGATTTACAAATAATTTTCAAATGAACTACTTAAGAAGGCTAACACTGAGCGTTGCCATGCTGCTTTGCATTACCAAGTGGCACAGTGCAGCAGAAGTTCATTTTCACTACATGGATCTTACAGAAGAGGTACCAGGGATGAGCTACAAAACTCCTCGAGTTCCCACAGAGCCCTATCAACTCCAGATGGGCATTTTTCAACAATGTTTTAACTCCCTACTGCTGAGCTATGAGTTACTGTTTAGATTAAGATATCATACTCTTGGGAAACAAGTTCTTTATCCTCTTACTAACCATAAACTATCATTATGTTAGTACATAACCTTTGTAGTAAGAAGGTTGCAGCAAAAGTGAAAAATCAGGGACCACTGAACACATACCCATTACGTAATTTGTTCTTAGAGAAACGTACATTGGGCACATCAGAATAGAACACATACCCTTCTCCGAGCTTCTCCAATACATCAAACACTTCCTCAGGTTGTTTTGTTAAACTGTCTTCATCTAACTTCTTCAGCTGCCTGTACATGTAAGAAGAGAAAAATTATTAAATTAAATTTTACAGCAGTTCGGGATTCACTGAAACAGAAGACTAAATAGCACTACTTAAATGTATGCAGGGCTTAGCATGAAGTAAATTCATTATGAAGTAGGTTTATTTCACCTGACCAGGAGACTGAATATTATGAGCATCCAACAGCAAAAGAGGACTGGCAACAACAGAGAACGGAATTTGTTCAGGCACACAAATACACAGTTCCTCTTGGTGGAAATGCATCTCAAGATCTACATGCCAGTAGTCAAATCCAACACAGCACTGCAGAGCTTTGCAGCTATTGAGCATATCAGCTAAAGTTCAGCAGCTGGAATGGAAGGACATGTACTAGGGCCGTGCAAAAGAGAACACCATCTTCCCTGATGCCTTAGAGTATGTGTAGAATACACTTATTGGGAAGAGGTAATACTGATCTCAGCTGTCCATTTTTAACATCAGAAGTTCAGATCTTAACTTTGTGGGCCTGGACATACACTAGGAAAATTCTATCAGGGAAAAAAAAAAAAAAAGGAGAGGAAACTGATATCTGAATCTTTCAGTATCTGGATGCTGCTTGGTCTCTCTCTCTCAAAAACATTGCTAATAAGTGTCAGGGGAAAAAACCATGCTACGTTGTTTCAGTTCACCTCTACCACACCAGAGAGCTGTTCACCAAGAAACATTCTGAAACAGCTAAGGACTACATTAAAAAAAGTTCTGAAAACAAAGTATTTTACTGTCAAACGGTATCCAACAGCCTGCAAACAAGTGCTCTTTCATTTTCACACAAACTAAAAAACATCTGAAACAATAAAACACAACAAAAAAAACACTCAAACAAAAAAAACCTCCCAACTCCTTAAACCAGCTCATACAAGTTTCTGAAACACAGAAACTTCTTCGTCTCGGAGCTCTCAGAACTTACCAGTCTCACAGTGAGCAGCGTTTAAAATGAAACGTGCATGGTTGCCTGCAACTGTAAATTACTACCAAAAGCTCTCACTGTTGCTGTTAAAGATCACAACTCCAGCCGCAGCAACGCTAATTTTTATACTAAATACTTATTTTTTCTCCAGTTTCTTCAGAAACAGAGTGAGAAACCACTCATTGATTCCTGGCTATTATATTTATGCACAAACACCATACAGCAGAAGCAGCTCACGCGTGGAGTACATACAATGGCTTCCTGAAGCAAAGGAAACATTATAAAGAAGCAGACTCAGGAAGTGGTGAAATACTGAAAGTAGTCGCTGGCTTCCCTGCAAAGATAAGTATTAACCAATAGAATGTTACTTGTCCTTCTGAAAACCGGGAGGGAGGAGGGTGTGGGAAGAGGAGAAAAGGGAAAAAAGAAGGATCATGGATCACACAAGCACCACTTCCAAGGAGCCCAAAAAAACAGCGATGCAAGAAGCATCTTCTTACTGAAGCTGAGGACTAAATTCTATTTTAAAAAACCAACAAACTTTTCAAATAGCCAAATGCAATAACTAGACAGCTACTGTGCCTGCATCAAACTATCTCATTTCTGTTATAGTCCAGGAGCGCAATTACCCTGCACTGCCCGGCTTGTCCGGTGCACTCACTGCTGTCAGTAACAACCTCTGCTTGTGTATGGCATGTTTATACAACACAGACAGAACAGTGACACAAAACCAATCCTGCAGAGTTGTTATTCAGATCTAATCTGAGTCCCCCTTCAGTTAAACACTGGCATAAGCAATTATAGAATAAAAACATTTTTTTAACAGAAGATACATTGCTGGTTTTGTTGAAAAAAAAATAAAAATTAAAATGCTCTATGTCACCAAGAGTCAGAGCCGGCAGCTTCCTTTGTTTGCTGCCAAAAGCGCTGCAGGGCCCCAGCTGCAAACCCCTGATAGCGTTTAGACATTTTGACAGCCCCACGCCTCATTCAAACCGCGGCCCGGCCCCAGGCCCCCCCCGCAGCCCGGCGCGCACAGATGTGCACCCCACGGCCTGGCTCGGAGGTCGCCCAGAAACCCCTGGAGGAGCCGGGCCCACACCTCGCCGGCGGGACGTGACCCGGCAGGGGCAGCGGAAGAGCAGCAACCCT